CTTTAGCTGAAATGATCCTCCAAAATCATAGAGACCCAGATTTGTTGTTTACGAAAGAAGGTGGTCTATGCGTAGCATTAGGAGAGGCCTGCTGTTTCTGTACCAATCACTCTGGAATCAATCGAGACAGTATGAATAAGCTTAGGAAAAGACTCCATGAGGGAAAGCAACAGTGACAGCATGACCAGAAGTGATTTCAAAACCTGTCCTCACTGTCCCCCTGGCTGTCCACGCTACTCTCAGCTCTAATAGAACCAATTGTTCTCTTCTTACTTGCCTTAACTGTTGGGCCGTGTAAAGTGCCTTCTAAACCGCATCCAGGATCGACTTCAAGCTGTTTATACTTAGACAAGAAGGATATAACCAGTTACATATGATTATGCAACAGAGTCAAAGATTTGACTCAGTGACCAAAAGCAGTGGGGAATATTATAAGCTAAAAAACCCAAAATGTGCTGTTCTTATTATAACTTGTTCTCTTCCTGTAAAACTTATGTAATTTCCAGTTAAGTTGCAACCTTGTAACATACCCACCATGTAGCCCCCTCCCTGCCTCCCTGGTTCCTGTAACTGCTTGTTCTGCCTCCCCCCTCCCCCCCTTTTAGGGACAAACTGATTCCAAGACCTTGACCCCTCCCCTTGCAGCTTGCTACCTTATAATTCCCTGCAGCCCCTGGAGGTGGCAGATCTCTCAGGCTGCTTTTCTGTAACAGTGTCTCCACTGAGCTCAGCTAATAAAACACTTTTTAAAATTTTTTGGAGTTCATCATTTTTCTGTCCATATCACACAGTTGGTATTAAACTGGAGCCACCTCAGGTATCTGACAAAAGGCAGAACAGGAACATTTTCTACTAAGGCAAAAAAAAAAAAAAAAAAAAAAAAAAAGGGTGAGAAGTCCTTGAGTACTTGCCCCCTCCAGGTCAAGTTCTGAGTCCTTTGACAGTTTGGAAGCATGTCATTTTTTTAAAGCTGCTGAGGCTTTCTGAAGAAGTGAGCCATTGTAAGGTCCAGAACAAGGTTCCTTGTTCTTATGTATATGGCTGTATGGAAGCCAGGGTTACTGCTCTCTCTGACCTGTGCTCTACTCCCCGCCACCTCCACAATAGTGAGAACTGAACCCAGGGCCTTTGCACTGAACTACATCCCCAAATTTTTAAATATTTTTAAGAAAAGGTCTCACTGAGTTGCCCAGGCTAGACTCAAATTTATCATCTTTCTGCCTTGGTCTTTCAAAGTAGTGGGATTACAGGATTTCATCACCATGACTAGCCTCTTGTAATTCCTTTTTTTTTTTTTTTTTTTGTCTTTCTTTCTTTCTTTCCTTTCTTTCCTTTCTTTGTTGGTGCTGAGGCTTCCATACTAGGTAAATACTGAACCACTGAGTTTCTGCTATAGTTGATACATTGTGTCAACTTCAGTAGTTTAGAACTTTAACTAAGACACTCAGTAGGGAGCCAGGGTTCTTACTTTGTAAACATTCTCATCCTGTGTAAGAGAAGGGCTAGGAGATTTTGTGGATGGGGGGATGGAGGGTGGGATGTGGTCTGTTTACATTATAAAGGAGGAGAAGACATTTGTTCCCCTCTTTTGCTCTGGCTGCTTTTTGTGGCTGCTGCCTTGAAGCCTTGCCCCTGTGCCATACCTGGAAGCCAGCTAATTGTGGACTGAAACCTCTACAGTGAGTTAAATAAACCTTTCCTTCCTTCATTTTGGGTGTTGCCTATTTTGTCCCAGCAACAAGAGAAAAGTAACCAAGACAGTTATAATCCCCTTTTTCCCCACCAAGCTGTTCTTTTCAACCTGTAGGCAAGTCAGTCCTATGAGAAAGTTTTAAGAGATTACTTTTCCCTTTTCTAAAATGATTAAGACCATACCTCTTTGGGATTTTGGAGTATTTGCATATACATAATGAGATGTCTTGAAGATGGTATGCAAATCTCAACATATAAATACTTGATACACATTTTATATATGTACTGACAGTAATTGTATACAATCTATTTAAAGCCGGTTTGGTGGCACACCTGTAATCCCAGATTTGGGAGGCTGGGGAAGGAAGAGTGCCATGAGTTTGAGGCCAGCCTGGGCTACGCAAGTGGGTTCAAGGGCAGTCTGCACTATATAGCAAGACCCTGTCTCAAAACAAACAAACAAACAAAACTGCTTGTAGCATGTAGACATGATGAATATGGCATTCCCTGTTGTGTCTGAAACAGTCCTACTGAAAGGAAAGATTCTTTCCCACATCTTCTAAATATGCTATTACAGACATCTCCCATTTAACAATTGATTTCTGTTCCTGTGAGTATATCATTAAATGAATTGGTCACTAAATGAGGAATCGCATATAATGTGTACATTACAATATTCAGAACAAAGAAATGGTCAAAGGAAGCTTCAACTTGATTGGTTTTATTTGCATTACTCTTACATGTAGTACTGTATTGTACAATGAAAAATTGCAGTACTGTATAAACAAGGTGTACTGTACAAAATAAGTCATTGAGACTCTGTAAACAAGATGTACGGAACTGTACAAAGAAAGTGGATCATAAGTCCAAACAGTTGCTAAACAAGTAGGTTATTAAACAAGGGGTAGCTGTATTCCTTTTTAAAATAAGGGGAAAAAAAGACTTATAAGTCCTATTCTTGGGGATTGTATGTAGCTCAGTGGTAGAGCGTTTGCCTAGCATGCATGAGGCTCTGAGTTGGATCCTTTGCACTGAAAAAAAAAATCTTATTCTTTGTAACTATGGCCCCCCAAATTTTGTGTATGTGGAAGTAGTTTTTCTTGTACTGCATCCGTCTGTCTAGGTACTGGGGATTGAATCCAGAGCCTTTTCACTGAACTACATTCCCAGTCTTTTTATTTTTTTATTCTGAGACAGGATCTTACTAAGTCACTAATTTGCCTGGGCCAGGCTCAAACTTCAGATTTTCCTGCCTCAGCCTCCCAGAGTACTGAAATTACAGACATGTCTGGTTGACACCCACTGTCACCTGTAGAATAGTGGTACTGGTATTTTATGTTTTTGACTTCTCACTCTGTAGTTAGGGTGGCCTTGAACTTTCTGCTACCTATGTAGCCCAGCTTGGTCCCATAGTAATCCTTCTGCATCAGCATCCCAAATACCACCATGCCTGGAGGTAATGTTTTTTTTATTTAATTCATGAATTCAGTAAAGTATTTCTAGAGGTCTTACTATGTGCCAAGTACTATTCTTGGTATTTAGATGCTAAATTTGGCAGCTCCACATTATGGAGTTCCCATTGTTAGGGTTTGTGTCTAGATGTCCCCTCAAAGCCTCAGGTAGTCATGGTGGGGTGGGGAAGGAGACTTCCAGAGTTTGTGATTGTTTCAGAGTCTGATGCTGAGATTAAGGTGTGACTACAACCGCCTTAGGGCAGAAGTTTGTCTTGTCTCTCTCTCTCTCTCTCTCTCTCTCTCTCTCTCTCTCTCTCCCCCCTTTTTTTTTGGAACCAGGGATCGAACTCCAGACCTTGCGCCTGCCAGGCAGACACACGCTGAGCTAAATCCCCAGTTCTTTCTCCCTTTTCTTAGTTTTTGCTGTTTTCGGCTGCCATAAATGGTTTGCCCCTCTATCATGTGCCACCTTTTCTTGGAGCCAGCTGATTACAGACCGAAACCTCTATAAACCGTAAGCTAAATAAACCTTTTCTCCTTTGTGTGTGTTGGGTATTTTGTCTTAGCAAGGAGAAAAGTAATTAAAATACCCAATAGCATGTGGTGATGAGCCCAGTGTGATGGTACATGCCTGTAATAATAGCACTCGAAAGGCTGAAACAGGATTGCTTCGAGCTCAAGGCCAGCCTCATAGTGAGTTCAAGGCCAGCCTAACCTATATAGCAAGGTTTTCTCTCAAAAAAAAAAAAAAAAAAAAAAGAAAAAAAGAATGTGGTGATGGTGGAAATGGCTCAGAGGGCACAACAGCTATAGGTATACCTCTACTGACTACCGAAATGACTGAATGTCAGCTACAGTAAAGCCGATCCAGAATGTGACTGATGTGCCAGTATAATAGTGTAAGTGACTAAGAATGACAGCACAGGGTTTGACTTGTTAAGTAATGACTAAGAGGCAGCAAAAGTGGCTGAGTGAAAACAATCCCACACTGATAGTGGGGCACACAAAGCGAAGGACTGCTTGAAGTTTATGGTCACAGGTTGCATACTGCACAGCGGCAGTAAATATTATAGGCCAGGCGACATCAACCACACGAATGCCAGCTCTGCGCAGTAGGCCGAATGCGTGGTTTTTAAAATGATGATAGTGACACAGTGACAGCGTTCACACAGACGGGATAGGGACACTAATGTAACACCTGTAACCACAGAGGGAGCTCGAGACAAGGACGGAAAAACGGGGCACGTGACAAAAAGTAATTGCGTCCATCGAGCCAGCGCCGATCAGTATTATCTCTGACTCGGAGAGGGTGGCTAGGTACTGAGTTCAACAAGGAACGCCACAGTGCATGACGAAGTATGTGAGAAGAAAAAAACATGCAAAAGAAAATCTATGCGTACTTCACCACCAAACACCTCTAAATCCTAGAACTCCTAGAGGGAGAGGCGGGATCACGACTGCGCGACGCCTCGAATGGTTGGCACTCGGCCCGCTAGCCTATCACGTCTGAGCGGTGCAAACCTCTCCATCAATGAGAGTGTGCCTGGGAACAAGCCTTGCCCGGCTTTGCATGTGAACGTGTTATTTTGGAAAAAACATCTTTTATCTACTTCGTTGTCATCCTTTGAAACACGGTCTTAGCCCTAGTGGTGTCCCAGAAAGGGACAGTGAAACCCTAGAACTTCCCCCAGGCTCCATGGCGAGCGGATAGCACAGCCAAGGTCAGAGGTGCAGCGGAGGTTGGCCACAGCGGAGGCTGGCCACAGCGGAGGCCTAGCATTGGTGGAAAGCGAGCGCGTGACTCAGGCCCCGCCTTCTCTCGAGCCCGCCCCCAGCACGTGACATGATTCACGGGCAAGGAGGCCCCGCCCCTCTCGGCGTCTGCCCCTTCTGCGCCGGCCTCAAGATGGCCGCCTGCTGGCGTTCGCGGCGCTGTTGAATGGCGAAAGCTTTATTGTTCCCTTCGGGCAGGAGTGTTCGTGTCCTCTATGGCGCTGTCAATAAAGAACGGCAGTTTGAATCGGTGCTGAACAGGTAACCATAGAAACGGGGCTGGGACTCAGCGTGGAGACCCCTTTTGCAGCTGAGACCAGAGAGGCCCCACCCAAGTGACGGGCGCGCAGAGACCCTTCCGCGTGGCCAACTCTGCGGAGCTCGTGTGGGTCACTGCCACCTTCCTCCGCCCCGGGACGTGGGCCCCCGAGGCAGCACACACTCCGGGCACTGGCACCGCATAGTCTCGGACAGGGGGAGGTCTTGGGGACCCGGTCCCGGTATCGGGCCTGCTCCCCGCTGGGGTCCTGTCCGAGCCGATGGGGACCTCTGGATCGGGCAGTCTCCTTCCGCCTCCCCCAGGTCCCGCACCAGGCATCTGCAACCTGCAAACCTCAGCCGAATGCGTCCCCTCTTCTCTTCCTCCTCCTAGATTTTGTTTGCCCGGAGCTAAGAGTAGTTTTTACGTTTTTAAATGATTAGGGGGACGAAAGAATGTAGGTGATAATGAAACCAAAACTTCAGTGCCCGTAAGTGAAGTTTTATTGGAACGCGGCCATGTTCATTGTTTATGTATTGTCTATGGCTGTTTTCGTTCTCCCTGGGCAGAGTTGAGCGGTTACGTAATTCTGTCTGACCTTTTACAAAAAAAGTGTGTCGACCCCTGCCCTAGACACGACTACAGTGGATGATTGTTGTCCTGCGATTTCCCTGGCCCCTTCTCAGCACTGAGCCAGCACCTACAGCTGTCGGCTGACGAAACCCTGGCTTCCATTATCTCTGGTTTTACCAGTTATTCTAAGTACTTGTTTCTCTTACTTTCTATAGCAGTAATATCCATCCACTCAGCGCCTACAAGAAAGCCGGTGCTTTCTTTATATTCATACCTGGCTTTATTGTGCTTTACAACCACGCTTTATAAGTAACGGTGTTTACCGTAGAGGAAGAAATGAGGAGCGGGAGAAAGCAATTTCAGGGTGTTCTAGGTTATGGGCTGGCAAACTCCTGCCTGGTTACTGGGCATGTTACTTCAGACCATTTTTTCAAGTCTGGAATTGTAACAAATGTTGATAATAGGTTTAAATAATCTCCCAAGTGAAATTTTTCTGTGCTTGCATTTATTTAATTTATTTGACAGTCTTATGTAGTTCAGGTTGGCCTTGAACTCACTGGTTGTCCAGGCTACCAGCCTGCATGTTGCAGTTTATCCTCTGGAGTCGGTGCTTTGATTATAGGCATGCTGGTTTAAATCATTAAATTTCAGTCTCCCTCTCCGTAATGTACCTTATATGGCAGTAGTTCCCAAACCTAACTTTTTTCATCATTGTTTTAACAAATGGTTGAAAACATTCTGCTTGGATAAATGCATCCATTAATCATTCAACATTTCATGAACACATACTTTGTGCTAGGGACAATTCAAATCCCTGGAAATATAGTACTGTCAAAGGAATTTAAATTCTTCAGAGATCTTGGATAGATGGTATAGAGGTACACAAAGATGGATTCAGACACAGCTGTCTTAGCATCATAATAATAAAATTAGTAGTTTATTTTATTTTGTAGCCCATGCTAACTTTGAACTCAGAGCAATCCTGCCTCAGTTTCTAAGTGCTGGAATTACAGGCGTGCACCACCACACCTAGCTATTTTAAATTTTTATTAGTACACATTTACAGTACATTATGTTTACATTCATTGTGGGGAACTGGTGCATGTAGGTAACACATCTCAATCTTTTTTCTCTTGAACCCTCTTTTATTTTTTTATATTTCTGTCAGCATCAGATTTATTTAGTAGTTAATGCTTATAAAGTGATTCCTTTGTGCCAAGTACTGGTGCTCAGTGGTCATTTGTGTGAACTATCATCTAACCCTCAAAGCCAATATGATGATGTGGGGAGAATTAGTATTTACATTTACAAGGAAGGAAACAGGCTCCCCGAGAAGAGATGTCAGAGGTTGCACAGTTTATACTATAAGGGAGCTGGGAGCTGAAACTACAGGGGCCGTACTCACTGCCCTGTTTTGAGCCTGCTAGTTTGGGAAGACCTTGAGCAGGGACCACACCTTTTGTATTTTCGGCTGCTAGCTCCTATCTACAAGCTGATGCAACATGACACTCCCACGTAGATATTAAAAGTGAAGACTTTTGTTTTTGTTTTGCGGCACTGGGAATTGAACCCAGGACTTTAGTGAGTTACAACCATTGTTTGTTTTTTGGGACAGGATCTCAGCAAGTCACTAAGTTGTCCAGGCTGAGCTTAAATTTGTGATTGCCTTGCCTCAGGCTTCCAAGTGCTGGAATAGTAGGTGTGTGCCAGGTCATTCCTTGAGCATACATACCAAGCTCCACCGGAAGGTTTTGTGATTGGGAGGGCCCGAGGACTGTGTTCTGGATGATAAAACCCAGTGTCAAGACAGTGCAAAAATAACTTATTCAAAACTGTGGCAGCTGCAAGAAGGGAAGCAAAATAGTGTTGACTTAAGAGACAAACCTGGAAGTTCCCTTTTTACCTGTGGTGGTCAGGGAAGACCTTTCTTGGGAATAATAGTTAAGCTGAAACTTGTCCAAACAAGGATCTTGTCCAGCAAAGGAGAGAAAAGCCAGGTGGAAGAAGCTTCTGGCATGCTCAGAAACCCTGTAAAGTGGGCAGGATCTTGGGGTGCTAGAGAACTGAGTGCTGTGCTTAACAGTACTGTGCTTGGTCCCTGGCCCTGAACAGCTGCCTTACTGCTAGAGCTGGGTGCTGAGCCTTAGAGAGCTGCTTACTTGGTGTCACATGGGTAATGGGATGTCCTCAAAGAGTTGTCTGCCCATTGAAGAGAAAATGTGGTGGGGCTGGGGATTTAGCTCAGCAGCATAAGCGCCTGCCTTGCAAGCAGGCAGTCGTGAGTTTGATCTCCGGTACTGATAAAAAAGAAAAAGACAAAAAAAAAAAGAAAAGAAAAGACAATGTGGTGATAGGTTTATGTTTTCTTTTTGTTATTACACAATATTGCTGAATCCCATTTAGAGAGAACTAAACAAATTTTTGACCCTAACTGGAGACTTCATTGAAAGTACTAAATATAATAAAAAGTCCACAACCGTGTTACAGGTAAAATGGGGGCAAAAAGAGTGGGTGGGTTTTCTATCTTTGAGGGAAGGGGGATGGAACTTTTTTTATTTTTTCTTACTTTTATTTGGAGAAGAATGTTTCTAAGTGTGTTTTAGTTTTTTAAAGGAAACTACACAGCTGTCTATACAGAGCATTTTCAGTACTTTAATTAAAAGTTTGGAACTATTTGTGCTACCCCCCTCAAACGTATCAGCTCCCTGTCTTTTTTTTTTTTTTTTGGTACCAGGGATCGAACTCACGACTGCTTGTAAGGCAGGCACTTATGCCGCTGAGCTAAATCCCCAGCCCCTCAGCTCTCTGTCTTCCTCTATCTCTTTCTCTCTTCCTTCTGCCGTCATCCCTGCTTCCCCTCCTCTTTTCTATACTCCATCCCTCCCTTCTTTTTTTGGGGGGGTGGCGTTGAGGGAGCTGGTGGTAGGGATTGAACCCAGGGCCTCTAAAATGCTCTAGCCTTGAGCTATACCCCCAGCTGCAATACCTGTGTTTTCTTAAGGCATTCTAGGAAAATGCTGGGCATTTTCTAGTTGGTATTAATTTCAGAATTTGTTTGTAAGTGATTCTGGATCCCCTCTAAAAGTTTTCAAAGTAGTGTTGCATACTTTGAAACAGTGTTAGCCAGGCGTAGTGGCACACACTGTAGTCTTCCTTACACTCAGAAGTTGAGGCAGGAGGATTGCTAGGAGTTTGAGGCCAGTCTGAACTCTGTCTCAAAACAAAACAAAAATTATAGAGTATTAAATGCTTTGGCACAGTAGCAGGCTTTTTGAATAAGTACAAATAGGATAATGTTTGGGCCAGAAACATGAGAAATTACAGGAAGTAATAAATCGAGGGAACTAAAGAAGAAGAAAAGCAGTGTCACATTTTGCTTTAAAGTGTATCCAGCAACCATACTGCACATGTCATCGGGGGAGAGAATCCATCCAGCAGATGGAACAAGGAGCTGAGCGGAGAGCGGCGGAGAGCGGCATGTTAATGCAGTGTTAAACAACAAGCCCTGAATTAAATTGCTATTTTAGGTTTGGGTGGGACCTTCACATCTGAGTGTTGCAGTTTTACTCTGTGATTTGGGTCTGTTGGGTTCCAGTAAAGAGTAGGTGGTAACACTAGCTTTGAAGGATAATATGAAACTGCAGGAAGAGCCAGGGCATACCAATTTGTTTTTCAATCTATTTTATTTCAGTTCAAAGCATCAGCGCAGACAACAAGCCGCACTTTGGCAATACTCAACTGCTTTTGGAGATTGAGGAAGACTGAGTATAACCAAAATGTGGCTTGTTTTCTTGGACAGTCTGTCTGCAATGATGCTTTGAACTGAAATAAAATAGATTGAAAAACAAATTGGTGTGCCCTGCTGCCTCATACTGAGTATTTACATTACCCTTCCCGAGGACGGCCTGTACCGCACCCTGGGGGAAGCCAGTGACCCCTCAGCCTCTTTCAGCTCTTCAGCAGAGTGAGCGCTTTGATTTTCACAAGGAAATTGAATTGGGATATGTGCTGGATTTCCAATAGCCTGCCTTCGAAAGCCATCATCTTGATAATGTGGAGAAGCAAGCTACGAACCACACAAAAAAGAACTAAATATTACCAGCATTTAAATTCAGAGAGGAGATTGTTGCTTTCTTTAAGTCATGCAGAGGGTACAGTATTTCATTTGCACAGAGCACACAGTTATGAGACGCTGGCAGCCCTCAAGGGAGTGAAGGGCAAGGAAAGAAAGCTGACTTCCCTTGTATTTCCCTAATCTTGTTACTGAACTCCAAAGACTCAAAATCATGGACTCAGGTATTTCCTTTCCTTACATAAAATAAATACATTACACCTGATCCACGAAAATCAGGCATTGTTAATCTTGTGGCCCATGGTTAAACTGCAAGGGATTCATGACCCCGGTGAAGATACCTGCAAGTGGGTGTGA